TGCATGACGGCCATAGGAAACATATTGTACCTTTTCAAACATTCTTACTATTCCCTTTTATTTTTCTGAATTCGACGAGAATTGATTTGATTTCGAAATAAAAACTACCCGTTTGTTTTTGTTGTTGTTGGTAGTGTTTTTTAAAAATGAATAAAGAATGGGAATTTGGAAAATACAATAGTTAATTGATTTTTTAAAAAGTTATGTATTTATTTACATGTATTTTATTTAAAACTATGAACGATATTCATCGTGGCAGAGGGCGTGGTGTACGTTTTTAAAAAAATAGTGACTTCTTGTTATATCTGAAGAAAAATACTGGTTGTTTCTTTTTAGAAAAGATTTACTTAACTTGTAACACAGTAAAGATAGAAGTGCCGACGATTAGATGTGTTACAAGAGAGCAACAAACACACATACACAAAAGACGGAGCAAACCTTCGTGAACCTACACGTGGAATTCCCAAAAATTGTTATTGTCTTCGGGGCACTCACCCAGACATTGGGCTATTTCCCCCCCTCAGCCCCACACCCCTGTGATGAGTGTTCTGGTTACCCCTAGAGGGGCCAGTAAAACATTACGGCAAGCCTTCGGGAGAGTTGAGGTGCAGCTTAAAATGCAGTTATAAAAAAAAGACCCGTCGCCCTATGAGGTCCAGTGCGACATATGGTACCCCCCTTCTCACTCTGTCCCCCCGCCCAAACTTTCCGTACTCACGATAAAAACGTCCACAGGCTAACCCTTTATCGACACGCTTTCTGTTTATTGTCGACAAATTTGTGGTGGGATTCGATGGAATCAGGCGCTCGTCATCTTTGGGCATATGGAGTCATTGGTATAATCTTAGATCCTGCGCGCTCATATGACATTATGCAGTTGCGAGCGCTTTAAAACCCCACACTAAACTAAACTAAATCTTAGATCCTGCTCATTTGTCTTACTTTTGATTTTAAAAATGTCCATAAATATCTTGAATAGACGTCGGGATATTCGCGATTGGAGGAGGTTGGGGTCTCCTGGTGTTAGAGATAAAAATTACCAAGAAAATGGCTGCCAAAGTTTGGTGACTTCCAAGGCTTGGGTGTCCTTGGAAACTGCGAAACTACAAAACTGCAAATTTACATTTTTTGCGCCTTTGATCAACCTTTTTGGGGGGTAAAATTCACACTGAAAGGTATTGTTTATTGAACATAAAAGGTATCCAATATATATATAATACATGTAATACTACACTGCTGACATATCAATGAAAAATCCCCATACACAAATATTAGACTAATTATAAACGTGATATGCTTCCATACACCTTGCAGACATTATCTCAATGCATTAAAGTTATGTTCAAATATTTATAGAGTACGGTACTTTTATAAGAGATTTACGGCACATGCAGCACATTAATAGGTCAAATAATATGTGCCGCAGATTAGAGGTGTTACAAGAGAGGAACGTACGAAGAAAACAAGGAGAGACATAAGGACGGTCGATGTTTTGATGTTTGATGGGAAAGAAGGAGCAAACCACACTTGAGCACCCGCCAACCACCCATTTTGGTTTTGACTGGCTGGCCGCTTCTTAAATGATATCATTGATGATGTTGCTGTTGGTTTTTGTTGTTGTTGTTGTTGTAGTAATTGTTGTTGTCGTGTTCACACTGTTGCTGTTGTTGTTTGAGGGATGGGAATAGAAAAGGGAAGGAGATGAAAGCATTTTATTAAACAAAAGAATACAATATAATTCACGTAAAAGCGAGTTGATAATTTCCGTAGTGTAATGGGGAAGACGGGACGGCCCTTCGGTCAAAACATTTCAGCCTCACATGACCTCATCTGCGTCTAGTTGGTCGTTACACTCATCGTAAAACAGCAGGAACTCCAATTACACCAGCGCCACCCCGCCCCCAAATCTCATGCCCCGCGTCGAACCCGCCCTCCTCCATCCCCCTTTTCCTCTCCCCCTGGTCCCCCACACCCACACCCACCCACCCACACAACGACAGCAACAGCAACAGCAACAGCAAGTGAGTGCTGAACAGTCGTAACTGATGCCATAAACAATTAATGCTTACGTCATCTCAACTCGTAAGGGCCGATTTATGCGCGAGGGACAAATTATTATTATCAAGTTAGCCACCCACGATGCCTCCCCCTCCT